CCTTTAACCACGTCCTACAGCCTTTCGCGAACATGAACTGCCATGCTGTGACAACTAATTTCCCCTTCTCTCAGCATGCGCCTACATCTATGACTAATTGTTACTACTCCCTTTACCTATCAAGTTTCACCCCTCGAGGCTGACACTTAATTGGACAGTTAGTTTATCTTATTAATAGGCAACTGCCGTCTGCAGCTGAATAAGATCGTCACGAAATTTATGACGTCATGAAATTCTGCTCAACTCGTGATCTTCGTCTTGTGCAAACAGACGTTAGTTGAATAGCTGCTAGATAGCAGATAGTCCGCAAACACACCAGTGGCAACTATGGTCCCCGCTTGGCCCTAAGCATCAATTCAACACAAAATTACCTTCAAGTAGGTCTGAACAAAGTCGTGGAGGGCGAGAGAGATGAGGCCGTGCACGTTGCAGGCACAGGACGCCACTGATGTGGTTATGCCCACACAGTACAGCAGGAGAGTCCCTCGACGACCAGCAATAAACGCGGGCACGGCGAATGGCTTCAAAACTGCAGAAAAAAACATTTGTTGTGAATTTTATCAGTGGAGAATCATAGGCAAAAATAATCGAACACTGGTATTAATGTGTAGGTTTTTTTGTTTAACGTTAGTTAATGAGAAAGTCTACAACGGTTCTCTTGGTTGTAGATAAAATACAACACCAGTCTCTTTCATTGTCCACCTCCTTTTAGATATGCATTTAAGGCATAAGGTTTTGCACATTCGGTCAGCTTTTATTAATCCTCCGCACGATAGAAGCTTGCTCTGAGAGCCCGCTCAGATTACTTTAAATATAATTCTTCTTTGCCTTCAGCATCAGCTCTTTTATTAGTTCCATTAGTCTTATTGAAAATAACCTAAACACGAGAAGTGGTTCCAGTGTGATTCTAGCGTACCAGGTGAAATAACTTCTTGTTTCGGTGACTATTTTTCCGTTTTCCCACATTGCATGATTTTTTCATTTTATCGTTCTCAAGTTAAAGGGGAACTGATAGTCATATTTCTCACTGCCTGATATCCGTTCAGTGGCGTTTCCTGTGGGTCTGTTCAAAATACCTCTGCTACATAATTAAGCAAAACTTCTGACAGACTAGTTTTACAATTAAGAGAACCATGGAAGTCAGGTTATCCTATCAAAACCTGCTTTGTAACGTTTAATCG